CCCCCACCTTTCACACACACACATTCCACTCTCCGCCCTCGTACTTTTTTGTTTATGGTGACACTCTTCAAGAGGACCGTCTATCTAAAGTGACCGCTGTTCTCCTCGACAATAGATAGCCGTCTTGAACTGGTTCGACTGCAAGCTATTAACAATGTCGTAATGCAGGAGTTACTGAGATATTTCTCGTGAATAGACTTTATTGTACTGGACTATAAGGATGTTATACATGGTTGTATAGATTTAATAGACAATAATTAGGCGCAGTCTTCTGTTGACGGTTGTTTTTGTTGTTTTTTTTTGGGGGGGGGTTTGGTTATGTTTAATTAACAAAAGCGAAATTATACATGGTAATGGGTCGTTGGCGGGTGCTCTGGTGTGGTTTGCTTCTTCTTTCCTACCAAACGACTATGATCTTTATCTTTCTTCCTTCATTTTTGTGTTTGTTACTCTCGTGTAGATGTCCAAAATTGAGTCGATAGTGCCGTAAAACACCTACTCAATCAATCAATCAAAAACTCTCTTGTAACACCTCTAATTTTCGGCACTAAAATGCCCTTATTGTGTTGAAAGTGCCGTAAAACTTTTACTAAAACTAAGACACATGTATAAATAAAGGGACAATAGTAATAGGCGTAGTCTCCTGCAGATATTTAGTTTTTTATGTTTTTAAATTAACCAATATGAAATTTCTGGGTGGTAGGCGGGTGCTCTGGTGTGGTTTGCTTCTTCTTTCTTATATCAAACATTCGTCCTTTTCTCCCCTTCTTCTTTTTTATGTTTGTTACTCTCTTGTAACACCTCTAATCTTCTGACGCTCGTATGCCCTTATTTTGTTGCAAGTGCCGTAAAACACTTACTAAAACTACACTAAGACTTTAGAGTACTGTACTATAAGGATAATGTTATACATAGTGCATAAATAAATGGACAGTACTAATAGGTGTAGTCTCCGGCAGATGTTTAGTTTTTTTTATGTTTAATTAACCAATCTAAGATTTGCCACACCGGATTAACCTTAAGGCATGTGGCACAGCACTGTACAGTCTCAGGCTATGGGGGGTCGATGTACAAGTGGATTAGCGTGCTGCAGTAGGCTGTTTCATGGTCCGGCGGTTGTGTGCGTGTGTGTGTGTGTGTGTGTGTTTGTGTGTGTGTGTTTGGGTGGGTGGGGGGTGTTTGTGTGG